GTTTTAAGTTTTTTTTTTTTTTTTTTTTTTTGCGTTAGGGCCTGTGTGTGTGCCAGAGAGAGAGAGAGAGAGAGACAGAAAGAGACAGAGATAGTGAGAGGGAAAATGAGAAATCAGTCCCCAGGGGGTTGGCCACACTGCAGACCCTTCTCCTCCGCTCTCCTCCTGGGATCTTTAGCATGTATGCCCCAGATCGCTTGGGCCCGGTGTGATATTCAAGCCACCAAGTCCAGGACTTAAGCCGCAGTCGGCTACGTGGGAGTCCAGTGATGGTGTAACTGCTATGGCATCTGCTAGCCCCGAGGTGGGTACTTCTTAGTGCCCACTTTGCAGAGCAGTAGACCATGGCCTAGAGATGAGGTTAAGTGACTCAACCAAGGCCTCGAAGTTGCTGGGTGGGATCCCATGCTCTCGGAGTGACCTGAGCTCTGCTAGCTGTTGTGTCCCGGAGTCTGTGGAGGTGGCTATGGACTGCCCTGGGCAATCCTCTCTCCCTCACCCATATCCACTGCAGCTAGCGGTGTGTGTGCAGATACCAGCCTGTAGGTGTGGGTGGGATCCCTGCCCTGGGACTTTAGGGCCCCGGATTCATTTGTATTGGGTCATCAGAAAAGTCATGGATTTTTGCATAGAAAAAATTCTGTCATGGCTTTTCCAACGACCCAATAGGGTTTGAGGTCAATACCCTTGGCTTGAATCTTGGTGTTGGCACCTGTTCTCTTACCCTTATGACCTAGGGTAAATTACTTCTCTGAGCCTGTTTCTGGGACGTTATGAGAGTTAGATAGAAAGGTGCAAATAAAGCATCAGGGTCCATAAATGTTGGGGCCTCCCTTCCTTTCTGGGAAAGCCTTCGACTTGGAGCCAAGGATGGGAGTCAGCCCTGAGGGCGAGGACAGGGAGGTGGTTGGATTTTCAGGCACGGGAGGAAAAAGATCTCCGTTTGGCCCTAGGATGAAGGGGCACCTTCTGCATCATCATCGATACACTGGAGACATTTGTGCACCGGGCTGGTGTGAGCCTCCCTGCACCTCCATTCCGGGAACTCGGGGTACCAGCGCCCTCAGAGAAAGGCCGAGCCGACCTGAGGAGTTTGGACACTCCCGCAGGAGGAGACCCTGCAGGAGGACTGCTGGGCACGTGCTTGGTGTTTCAGATGAGTTTGCAGGCATCCTAGTTTGCTTTCCCAAGCCCTTTGCTGACGATAAAATTTTAGTCTGGCGAGTTTTTAGGGTGCATCCAAATGGCACAGTCACGTGCTTAGTGGAGAGCAGCCTGCGTCACTCACAATAAAAAACACGGGCCGGGGGCGGGGGGGGGGCACGGTAGTGGTGCAGCCAGAGCGATGTGGGCAGGGCCTGTGCACACATTTCAGGACCTCCCTGTTCATGCCACTCCTGCGTGTCTGTGCCCATGATCCGGGCCAGCTGAAGCAGGGTGCATTGTGGCATGGAGACCCTATTGGGGGTGCTTGTGTGTTGGCTTTCTCACTCATAGAGGAAATAGGCTTTAAAAAAATACATGAAAGAATAAAGTTGCATTTGTCCTGGACCTGGCAGGTCCATTTCTAGGAGTGTGCTCCACAGGCCCACTTATCCCGGGCCCAAGGCCTCACGCGTGGACGATGTCTGTTGCTGCATCGTTTATGATGCCAAGAGACCCAAACAACCTCAGTGTTCGCTGATAGAGCATATATAAATGATGGATATCCCCCAAAGAAATACTATGTAGCTATTTAAAAAATGAGACTGGACTCATCACTAAGATTTAAATTAAAAACCATGACTGCAGGGGACCAGCAGTTAGTGTAATGGCTATGTCGCTAGACTCCCATGTGGTCGACTGAGGTTCGCGTCCTGGACCTGGTGGCTTAGACTCACGCTTGGCGCGTGTGCGTGCGTGCCCAGGATCCCGAGAGAATGAAGGAGACGGGATTGCGGCGTGGCCATCCCCCCTGGGGGGGGTGATTTCTCGCTTTCTGTGTCTCTCTGTTCTGTCTGTCTGGCGAGCACACGTGCCCTATAGCAAAAACCTCTCAAAAAACAAACAAAAAAAAAAAAGAAAGAAAAAACAAAAAACCATGGCTGCAGCACATTGGGTGCTATAGGGATGGTTCGGGAAGGATTCTTAAGAAACTGGTAACGGTGGTGGGAACCAGCAGTTAGCGTAATGGCTATGTCGCTGGTCTCCCACGTAGTTGACTGCGGTTCACGTCCTGGACCTGGTGGTTTAAAACTCACGCCGGGCACGTGTGCGTGCGTGCCCAAGATCCCGAGAGGAGAATGGAGGAGAAGGGATTGTGGCGTGACCGTCCCCCCTGGGGGGGGTGATTTCTCGCTTTCTGTCTCTATGTCTCTCTCTGTCTGTCTGGCGAGCGCACGTGCCCTATAGTGAGAAAAAAAAAAAAAAAAAGAAACTGGTAACGGTGGTCACTCTTGGGGATTAGGGGGCCTGGGGTGGGAGGGAGACTTCCTTCTGATTGTACCTCCTCTGTATTGCTTGATTTTTGAGAGACTCCGGAGTACAGTGGGTATTAAGTGAGCACAGACTCAGGAGCCCATGGCTGCATTCGAACCCTGGCTGTTCCTAGGTGTGTGCTCTTGGGCAAGTTACCTAACTGCCCCGGATGAATACGTGGTGCTTTGTGAAGTGCTTAGAATAACATGTGCGATGCCGTAGGTGCTACGTGAACGTTCACTGTTAGGAATACTGCCACTCACATGCATTCCGTGTCGTTTGCTAAGCCAGTTAATAGAAACAGAGGCTTAGGAATGGAAAGGAAACGGGTAGCTGGCCTGTTTGTGGTGGGGCAGATTAGCCTGGAGGGCTCAGTGCCCCTTGCACGGTGCAGTCTGGCAGGATGGCCCCCACTCAGAATCAGCTAGGTTGGCTCCAGGCCCCAGGAAGTCCAGCAGAGGCACCAACCTGCAGCTTACATGAGGTGCCATGGTGTGGTGGCATGGTGCCACCTAGGGCCAGGAGAAGCTCTGCCCCAGCTCTGAGCATTTGGGATTCTGCCCCATCTTATGCCGCCTGCCTCTCCGCACCCCTCTGCTTCCTTACCCTCTTGTGCCAGCCTGCATGGCCAGGGGCCGGCTGATTTTTGAGACTCCAGAGTACAGTGGGCATTAAGTGAGCACAGACTCAGGGGCAGGACAGGGAGAGATAGAGAGAGAATGGCCTTTAGCAGAGCCACAGGAGGGGACTGGTGGGCCTGGGCAGACCTGAGGGAGCATGTGGTTCCTGGGTCTCTGGGAGGAGGAAGTGGCCTGCCCATACGTGACGGTTTAGGTGTGGCCCAGCTTCAGCAACATGGGGCCCAAGGGTGATGCTGGTCTCTGGGGCTGCAGCTTCACCTGGAAGCCAGAGGGGTCAGGAGGGAAGTCTAGCTGGACCCAGCAGGCTCTGTGGGCCCTTGGCACTGGGCTGTAGGAGGCTTGGTTGGCATAGGAGGGGTTGCTGGAAGATGAGGGTTCGGGTTGTCCAGCTGCTGGTTTTTCTACAGGTTAATGATTTATGATGGGCGGAGGCTGGGCCCTTCCGGGACTTCCCTGGGCCCAGGAATTGCAGGGAAGGCGTGAGAGAGCTGCTGGCCGGAGTCACAGTTGGGAGCCGGTGACTGCTCTCTGCGTCGAAACTTTAGCCCTGAGCCCCACCTAACTTGAGTTCTGGCCTTCTTTTCACAGGCGAGCGGCTGGGACAGTGCTGGCCTGAGCTGGACCTTGTCTGATGGCTTCCTCCAACCCTCCACAGCCTGCTGTAGGTACGGTACTCTGCCTCTGCTTGTCCCACCTCAAAGGGGGTTGTGGGGCCAGCTGGGACACCAGCTTTGGGGCCAGTGGCCCTGCTCTGCTGGCTGTCAGCCCGTGTCCCCCACCCCTGCCCCAGTTCCCTGTCTACAAAGTGGAAACCATTTCTTCCTCTCAGAGTAGGCTCTTGGCAAGGGCTGATTCTTTACCTGCCTCCCAGAAGCCCTGGCGGGATGAAGGTGGGGTCCAGGGATCGTGCACACATGAGACTGAAGGTTGTAAGTTGAGGGGAACTGAGTCTGAGGGGATGTGTCAGGCCATAGTCTGGATCATCAAGCAGTCATAGAAAAAAGGAAAGACTTAGGAAAACGCAGAGGAGGGCCAGCTGGTGGCATGGGGTTGAGGTGGCCAGATCCCGCACGGGTTTAAGTACCAGATCTGGAGGCTTGAGAAACAATGCTCGGCCTGTGTGCGTGCACGCCCCGGATCCCGAGTGGAGAGTGGAGGACAGTAGATTATGGCATGGCCACTTCCCTGGAGATGCTTGCTCACCTCCCTCCCCATCTCTCTGTCTCTCCTGTGAGCTCACTCACTCTCTAGCAGATTTAAAAAACAAAAACAAAACAAACAAACAAAAAAACAGAATAAAAGTATGTATTTACACTAACAAAATTATGCATTGTTTATCTGAAATTCAAGTGGTGGCCTATGTTTGGTCCTGGAGAAGGGCCTCGGATACTCTGCAGGTGGAATCCAGGTGCTGCTCTGGAGGGACCACACCCAAGGCTGTTCCACCCTGGCCCCCACTTCCTGCCTTGACCTCTTTGAGGGAGGCCGGGTAGGAGAGTGGTCATGAGCGAGGACTTTATCACCGGCCCAGTTAGAGTGTGGATGCTGACCCTGACTCTTACTCCGTGGGCTCAGTTCTGTGACTTGGTGTCTCTGTGGCAAAGTTTCATCATCAGTGTGCATGGGGATAATCATGACACCCTCCCGCAAGGTTGTGGTTGTTGCCAGGTTTATATCTCTGTAAGGTGTGGGTGCGGTAATCACTCAGTAGGTGGGGGCTGTCACTGTCATGCAGGGCGCTGGTGGGCTGGGCTGGCTGGGTGCACTGTCTCTGAACCCTGGGTAGAGCCAGATGACATCTTCCTCGCTGAGCCTCAGTGTTCTCTCAAGGGTGGCGGATCGGTACTGTGAACCTGCCTTTTCCACAGCAGATGGCAGCTTCCCAGGCTTGCCTGCCTCCCGGACTCTCGTGTCTTTGCTCTCTCAAGGACCAATATCAAAGGTGCCAGTGATCAGCCCCAGTTGTGCCACCTGTGCTGATGGTTAGGAAGGGCTTGGTGGAGCTCTCAGTTTCCCTGGGTCCAGCCTTCTCAGCTTCCTTCTGATAAGGAGCATGTCTGAGTGCCTGGAGGGTGGACCGCCTGCCCGGAGGGAGCCCTGGGGACAGGCACCGCTGCCGATTAACATGGCGACCTGGGGTCCCATGCCGTGGGCACCTGTTCCTTTCTCCTACAGGGCCAAACATGGGACGTGTCAACAAAAAATGTTATATGGTCATGTCGATTCTGTTCTGCAGAGCAGATGTTTGACAAACGTGCATCGTCCCTGCTGGGTCTGATACTCTTGGCCAGTGTCAGGTGGTTGGTCCTGGGTCTGTGCCATGTTCTGATTCTCTGAGCACTTCCCATTGTCTTACCAAATAAAATCCAAGCTTCTGAGTAGGGGATCCCCTAAACACCTTGTCAGGCATCTTGCAACCCCTCTACCTCTGCCCACGTACCTCTTCAGCCCCGCTAGGTCACATGCTGTCTGTTTTCTGCTTCCACTATTGTCTCCCTGCCCTAATCTGCACCTGTCAGTTCTTTCCTCATCCTTCAAGGCTGTGTCAATGGTGGCTGGTGCCCGAGCCTCTCATGAGGCCCTGGTGAGCGTCTGCCTAGTCCCCTCTCTTGGCACTGTCTCAGTCCCTTCGTTTGATGTCCTCTCCCCATGTCTGCCTGCCTTGCCCTGCAGGGAACTCCCGGCCTGCCAGGAGCTGTTCACAGAGTGAGTTAGATAGAATAGCTGAGCCATTTCTACTCTTTTTTGGGGGGTGGGGTGTGGAAGGGGTATTTTTTTTTGAACCTATGTCTTCCATGGTGGTGGGAACAAGGGGTGAAGAGCACCCCCGACAGAGCCCCCATGCTATGCTCTTCCCCAGCCCCAGGTCACAGGCACACACGTGCCCTGCATGTTCAGGGAGCTGTCCAGATACGAACCCGGAACCTGCCCATGGGGTCAGCCTCGCAGAGCTTTACATGACTGCTGTACCACTGTCCTGCCCTGTTTACACTCGTGAAGGGGCAGGGTACAGGGGGGACCCGAATCCATGGACACAGCCTAGGGACAGGATAGTCTGGGGCTGGGCAGGGCTGTGAGCAGGAGGGACTGCCCATCCCACCCAGGGCCGGGACTGGGTGATGACTGGTGATGATAATAATGATACTGACGATGTAGATAGTGACAATAATAAATGAATCACATTTCACGTTTGGTGAGCACATTTCTGGCACCAGGTGCTCTCTGTGTGTTAATTCATTCCATCCTCCCAGCCACCCTGCAAGGTAGTAATTATGCTGTTATTGCTGTCATTTTACAGATCAGGAAACTGAAGGTTAGAGGGGCCAGATAATTGGACATACATCTAGTGCCTGGGAGAACAGGCGAGCGCATTGAACCAGGGGATCTGACCAGAAAACTGTATTCCCTCTGGAGACACCACCCATGTGCAGAGAAGCCCCAGCTTCACTCCTCCCAGCAGATTCCACTGGCCAAAGACAGGCCGCTGGGGGTAGGCGAGCCTGTAAATCACGATGAGCCTGTAAATGGTAACCCGGAAATAGTGGGTAGGGATTTATGGTCATTTATTACAGTTTTTAAGACCACAGTCTGTAGGGGCCAGAGGTGGTATAGTGGTTATGGCTCTGGACTCTACTTGACTGCAGTTCGAGTCCCGGACCTGGCAGCTTGAAAATCACCCAGACACGTGTGCATGTGTGCCCCAGATCCCAGGAGGAGAATGGAGGAGAAGGGATTGCAGTGTGACCATACCCCCAAGGGGTGATTTCTTACTTTCCCTCTCACTGTCTCTCTCTGGCAAGCACATGTGCCCTATGGCAAAAATTCAAAACAAAACAAAACAAACCAAAGCAACAACCACAGTCTGTAAACCCGATGGTACGTGTGTGTGTGTGTGTTTTCTACAAGTGCTCACGATGTGCCTGCTGTGTGCTAGGCATCGTACTGGGTGCTGGTGAATAGAGCAGACACAAACAGCTGCTCTCGTGAAGCCTGTAGTCTAGCAGAGAGCCAGAGTGAAATGAAGACAGTACGTGCTCCGTGCTGGTAAGGCCGCAGAGAGGAACAAAGAAGGGAGAGCCAATAGCGAGCCTCAGGATACCTGTCCGGCAGTCTCTGAGAGGTGGCGCAGAGTACAGGCTTTAGGAGGCCAGAGTGGAAGAGCGCTGTAGGCTCCGAGTGCAAGTGCAAAGGTATGAGGAGGCTCAGCAAGGCTCAGCAAGGAGGGCCAGAGTAGCTGGGTGGGGGGAGCCAGGGGCGAGCAGGAGAGTCTGTGTGCATGTGTGTACAACACACACACACCAAGTGTTCACATGCATAGGCATGTGTATATGTGCACAGTGCACGCTTGTATTTACTGATATATGTATACATGCATGTAATACATGTAAGTGTATATGTGTACATATGTGTATTTGTATGTGTGTATGTATTTTACATGTATATTAGGTTTTCTGAGAAGCATTTTTCCTGAAAAGGGGAAGGATGTATTTTTCTCTTTTTCTATGCAAAAATGCCTCACGACTTTCCAGACAACCCAGTCTATAAAACTGGAACAGGAATGTTTCACTACCAGAATTACACTAACTATGATTTTAGTACTATTATAATACTAGAAAATATCTGAAATGAGCAATTCAAACACAAAATACCATGCGAATTGGGACTCCCTTAGTTGGTTTTATGAGCCACCACGGGTTGAGAGCTGTGACTTGAGGACCGTGAGTCCAGCTTCCCATGCAGTCCGTGTTTCTGTCATTAGGTTGTTGTCACAGGTAGTGTGTCTGATGGCCAGGCCGCTTCTGGGGTGGGCGGGGCCTAGCAGAACAGGCAGGAGTGAGACAGAGCTGGCTCATAGTTTGCCTCTCCCTTAGAGCCCCGTCACGGTAGGTAGCACCCCTTTGTCCCCCATCTCCACTGAACAGAGTAGGGGTTGTGAGGACTCAAAAGAAGCTGCTTGAGACATAGCTCAGGCTCTTGAGATTGTCTGTCCACACCTGGGGAAGGAGCCAGGCCCACAGAGGCCAGAGGGATCTGGCCTGCCGGTGCTGCCCTGTGGGATCCCGAGCCCCACGAGCAGCTGGGTCTCCACCTCGAGGGCTCCACCTGGGCATGTGCCCCTGGAGACTGCCCACCCTGCTATCCAGCTGCTGAGGACAGGGTTTCTGAGTTCAGTATGCATACAGCTAAAATCTTCTGCTCTGGGAACCTCTGGGTCCTGTGAGGAAACTGGGTTTTTCTGGTTGGAATCAGAAACGCCCACCTCTCTGTCCATCTCTCTGTTCTGTCCATCTTCCCATCCCCGTTCACTCGCCCGTCTGTCGTTTATTGAGCTCCTACTGGCTAGGTCTGTCATCATGGACTGGTCCGTCCTGTCCTGAAGACCCCAAGGCTGGGAGGGGCCATAATTATAGCAGGTGCCCTCGTCATAACCCTGCTGCACACGGGCCTGTGCCGAGGGCCGCGCCCACCCCCGCAGTCCTCAACTGGCTGTGGTTTTGCCCCCTGGCCCGGGGACATTTGGCAATGTCTGGAGACACTTCTGGTTGTCACGCCAGGACTGTGTCACCGGTCTGTAGCGAGCAGAGGCCAGGGATGCTGCTGACATCCAGCTGCACAGGATAGCCCCACCACTAAGAAGCCTCTGGCCCCAAGTGTGAACAGTGCTAAGAAACCCTCCCCTTCATCCACCCTCCCTGTGGCTGTTCGCATCAGCCTTAGGAGAAGGTGCTGCTTTTATTCCTTCTTGGAGGTGGAAACCAAGATACTGAGAGGTGGAGGGACCTGCTCAAAACCACTCAGCCAGCAGGGAGCCCAGACAGGCCATCTGGGCCCAGAGCTCAGGCCCAAAGCTGGTGGCAGGAGCCAGGAGAGGACTTCTCTGGGTGGCTTGATTGAGGGATGGTCAGGTTTGCAAACCTTTAGAAACTGCCCCTTGACTTTCGAGTGGGTTTGCACGAGGTAAGGGATGGACTTAGTGAACTTCTGAGGTTCTGCCCTGCCTCGGATTCTAGGCCAGTCTACTAGACTTTCTTCTAGGAAGAGAACCAGGGAACCTCCACTTGCTGAAATAGCCAGAAAGGTGAGGGCCTTTATGTTCTTTAGGACAGAGATGTCATTGCTCCCTAGCTTAACAAAGGCTGCTGACCCTCACTAGGCCAGGCAGATCCGAAAGTCAAGGGGGCAGACAGGTGGGGCATCTGCTCTTAGGGATCGGACTCGTGGTGGTGGGGAGTGCAAATGCGTACAGAATAAATCATTACATATTGTCCGAGGAACGAGCAAAGAACACACATGAGGCGCCAGGACAGTGGAGCGGAGGCAGCATCCCGTTATCAGGGTAGTCAGGGAGCGTCTCTGCCCGAATTGAACTTTGAAGGATGAGGAGGACAGGAGGATGTGGCCAGGAAGGAGTTCTCCCAGGAAGGAGAAGCAGGAGTGAGGCCTGGCTGGCCCTGGCCACTGCCAGCTGTGTCCTCGGATCTGCAGTCTGGCTGCCTTCAAGCCCCAGATGCTCCCCGGCCGCTGGCCGCTCTGCTTCACGCCAACACACATTCCAAATAAGTGCAGCATGCGGGACATGCCTGGCTGCTCCCATTCACACACACACACACACACACACACACACACACACACAGTACACACATAGACACACAGCACACACACAAATACGGGGATGCCTGGCTCCGCTCATTCACACACACACACACACACACACACACACACACACACACAGTACACACACAGACACACAGCACACACACAAATACACGGGAAGGTGGTACACGTGCCTAAGTGCATGTGCACAGGTGCGTTTAAGATGCCCTCCTGCTGACAAACAGGAAGCTAGAAAATGAGATGTTCTTATGTTCTCTGGGAACCTGCTCCCTCTTTCTGCAGCCACCGCTGAGAGACCGAACCCAGCCCCCCACCCCCAGCACACAGCCTCAGGGGCATGCTGGGGCTGGCTGGCCTGAGTGTGACTTCAGTGTCTGAGAACGGCTCTGGTGCCCTCACTCAGACCCGGCCGGAGCCCACCAGGCCATCTCTCCCTTGACCAAACCTCAGAGACCCTGCAGCCTGGCTAACTCCTCCTCTCTTCTAGGAGATCAGCTGGTTCCCAGAGCCCCAGGCCCCTCCCCCGAGGCAGATGACGACCCAGGAGAGGCCTTTGAGTTTGACGACAGTGATGATGAAGAGGACACCAGCACAGGCCTGGGCGGTCCCAGTCTTGCTCCTGAGGGGGACACAGACCCCCCGCTGATCCACTTTGACTCCGCCCTTGCCACGGGTAAGGTGTTTGTGGGAATCTCAGGTCTTCTGGGGATACAGAGAGCTGGGCGGAAGCTGCAGGCTTCCAGGGATGCCTGGTGGCCTCTTTGCTGTCCCCAGAAAGCAGGAAGGGAAAAACCACTGGGAAGAAGCTGCGTTCCACTGCTCCCCTTGGGAATGGGAAATTCCTAGCATTCTTGCAACATCTGGCGCCCTTGGGCACATTGTACATGGAAGCGATTGGCCTGGGTTATGCTTTGGAGACGGTTGCTGCTAGAGCTTGAGTCTCTGAAGTCCTCCAGGCAGCTTCTCCCAGAGAATCTCGCCCCAGCTGAGAAGCTGTGTCCCTGGGCCCCTCTCCAGTCTGCCATGGGGAGCTGGCAGCCCTGGGGTATGGGAGGGCCCTGATAAGGCTGGTGTTAAATGGCAGCTTCTGGGCTCTTAGATTCTGTCATCTGGGAGGGAATCAGGACTGGACTAGCCAGAACTTCCTGCAGGCTTGGGGACAGCAGGCTCCTTGAGGAGCTGGGGGTGGGGGCGGGCCCAGGCAGACAGGCCAGCTGGCTCTGGTTAGACCCAGGCTGTGGGCCATAGGGGTGGGGGCAGGGACGGTGCAGGTAGGACAGGTCAGGAGGCTTCGCCACTGAGCCGTGGTGGGGCAAGTGAGGCGGGGAGCCTGGCAGGCACCAGGCTGCCCTCTTCCCCGGCACCCTAGGAGGCTGGGAAAGGGGGCGGGAATAGGCCGAGTCTGAGTCCAGCCTCTGGCCTGACAGGCTGTCCATCTGCTCTCCTCCATAGACCCAGACCCAGCTGCCGCACCGCCCCAGACAGAGTAAGTGGATCTCGCTCCTTTGCTTTGGCGACCCAGCAGGGGTGAGGAAAGAGGGTGGAGCTGAGACTGAGAGGGCTCTGGACTTGCCTCCTGCTAGGGACGCAGGCATTTCATGAAGACCCTGTGTCTGGGGAAAAGGTCAGTCCCTAAAACTTGTTCCTTCTAGCTTTCTTCTGCTTAGAAGCCAGAAGTAGCCGGAAACAGGCCTGGCCCTACACCCCGCCTCTGGCTCTTGTGCGGTTCAGGAAGAGCCTTAGGAGACCGATACTGTCCGAGCCAGTCTGTTGGGACAAAGATAGGGACAGTGAAGCACCACTGCCGTGGCTGTAGTTGCGAGCCGAGTGACTGTCTGTGTGCAGCAGGGCTGGCCCTGCTGTTGTCATGTGCCCTGCCAGTAGCATTTCCATGTCTGTGACCCCCGATAGGGGCTCTGCCCTTTTGCACCTGGGAGCCTGGCAGAGGCAGGGCGGCGGCCTCATGCTTAAGAGCCTGGATGCTGCGTTGACGGTTGCCCCTACTACTGCAGGTCGTGTAAGGCACAATCTCTCTGGGTTTGGCTTTTTCATCTGTGAAATGGGCCATTGGGTAAGAAGCGTAGCCTGACTGTAGGCATCTAATCAGGCAATTCCTTTTTTTTTTATTAGAAAAGAAATTGGCGGGGGGGACCAGCAGTTGGTGTAATGGCTATGTCACTGGACTCCCATGTAGTCGACTGTGGTTTGAGTCCCAGACCTGGTGGCTTAAACTCACACCGGGTGCATGTGCGTGCGTGCCCAAGATCCCAAGAGAGGAGAATGGAGGAGAAGGGATTGTGGGTGTGGCCATCCCCCTTGGGGGATGACTTCTCGCTTTCTATCTCTCTGTCTCTCTCTGTTTTTCTGGTGAGCGCACTCGCCCTATAGCAAAAACCCCTCCCCCCCAAAACAAAAATAAAAGAAGAAAAGAAAAAAGAAAGAAAAAAAAGGAAAAGAAGTTGGTAGTGTCTTTACTGGCTACTTCAGACTTTCCCCCTTGTCATTCATTTTCCCTCAACAATACCGTACAGCTATTTACATAGAATTACACTGGATTAAGTACTTAAAATAATCTGGAAGGCAGGGCTGGGTTTGTGCATTTGGGACCTGGGGTGATGGAAGCTGAGGCCTCTTGGGATGGGGGTGCTAGAGCCTTCTCTCCTAAGCAGTGGTGGTTTAAGCCGAGTTAACAGCCAGGACCTCTGGGCTCCAAATTGAATCCTGGCTCCCCTGGTTGGGAGGAGGGGTGAGCGAGTGAGGGGCTAATTCTCATAGGCAACACCCAGCGGGAGGTCTCTGAGTGCAGGCCTCTGGGAGGAAGGAGCCCTTGCACCTGCTCATTTGCTGTTGGACAGGGTAGACCCTGGGGTGGGGGCGCTGCTGCCTGGCTTGTCACTGGGTAATTAAAGTCAGACTCAGGCCAACCTCTCCTCCCCATTAGGGACTGACATGAATCAGCAGGTTTGTCTTGCACCTGGGCTGGGGCAGTCGGGGGTGGGGGGGTTGATGATGCTGTCCAGGGTGGTCTGGGAATGAAGCTGCAGAGAAACAGTCTGGCGGGGCTGCAGACAGGCCAAGTGGGACACTGAGTGGAGAGGGGCTGGGGGCCAGGGTCAGGGGAGAGCTGGATGAGGTCTGGGCAGGGCCAGGGACAGGGAGCGGCGGGCAAGTGCACCCCCACCTGGGTCTGGTGCACTCGATCTTTCAGGCCAGCCTCCTGGAGACCCCCAGGTCCCTAACCTGGGAGTTGGGAACACTGGAGCTCAGTCCCTCCCTGCCCACTTTCCTCCTACCATGGCCCAGTGGCCCTGCTGTGTCCCAGGGACCTGGCTCCTGGGCGTAGCCTGATGACGCTGTACCCAGGTTGTGTGTCGGGCTGGCTCTGGGCACCATGCTGAGGCCAACGAAGCCAGCTGCCCCCAGGGCGGCTGTGTACTGTCGTGTTTTCATCATTCCAGGGGTAGGATGGCTCAGAGTGGGCCAGGTACTTCTTGGTGGGGACAGGGGCCCAGGCTCCATCTTTAGCCCTCTGCCTGCCACCCTGTGGCACCATCGCCCTCTCTGCGCTCACCTGGAGTTACCCCTGTGTCCCCTGACACCACCTCCTGGAGGCCCAGGGGCGCGAGCTTGGCGGTTCA